TGCTATTACTTCTGCCCATACTGTTTTTATGTCATTTATGTTGACTCCTTCTTTCTCATTGATGCTTATTATTCTCAGGTTGTTCATCTTTGCAGTTGAGGAATTAATTTTGCGTGAATCATTGTTTTTAAGAGATCTTTTTAAAAATATTTTTACTCTGATGATCTGTTTAAATCTGAAAGTCTATTTTCATTTTCACTCAAAAGGTTTTGTTATTGAGGTTTTAACTTCCTCTATATATCTCTGACTGTGCTTCATGCGATCTATTTCTTTCCTTTATTGCTCTTTGATGGATTCCATTGTTTTTCTAATCTCCTCTAATTTTATTTATTAGTGTCTGTTTAAGAAACAGTTATTGATTCTTTTACTTCGGAGATTCTTTCTAATCTGATTTCCTCTATGTTTCTGCATTTGATTCTTTACTTCACATGCTATTAATTCAGAGATTTTTTTTTTTTTTTTAAATTTCATTGGTTATTTCTGATCTGAGTTCCTCTGTGCCTTTCTGTTGTTGATTCTTTACCTTAGACGCTATTACATCAGACATTTCAGCTGAGCTAGTGTCTTCTTGGGCGTGGCCTTGGTCTGGAACAATGGGAGTCCAGCCAGCATAGGAGAGCATGGATACTCTCCTGCTCACTCTCTCAGCCTGGCCTTGATCAAGGTATCAAGCAGTCCCAAAAGTGTGGCTTAAATTCTCACTCACTAGCCACTGTTGGGTTGGGTCCTGAGTGGTGGAGTGGTCCTGAGAGTGAGGGGGAAGTTGTCACTTATATGCCGGGCCTGAGCTGGGACTGGAGGGGTCCAGCAGGTGTTGGGGAATGTGGAGGCTTTCCCACACACTTGACAGTCCTGGGCTTGGGCTCAGTCTGGAGGGGCCCCGAGAGCACAATGCAAGTTCTCATACGCTGGATCTGGGCTGAGTCCAGAGGAGTGGAGATGTCCCAAGAGCTTCTTGGAAGTTCACTCTCACATACTGGGCCTTTTCTGGGTCTGGCAGCATTCAGTAGGCACAGAGGAGTGCAGAAGGTCTCCCACACACTCGCCGAGCCTGGGCTTAGGCTGGGACTGGGTTTTCCTTTAAATGTGATGTTTCTCTTCTTTTCTTTTCTTTTCTTTTAGTGACTTTTAGTATGCTGTTACTCTGCTGAATTTCTGGAATATTGATTATTATATGTCTGTTTGTGTTTTTAATTGGGTTGATGGAGTTCTATATGCTATGGTTATCTGAATATCAGATTGTTTCCCCATATTTGGGAAGGTTTCTGCTATTACTTCTGCCCATATTCTTTTTATGTCATTTGTATTTACTCCTTCCTTCTCATTGATGCTTATTCATCTCATGTTGTTCATGATTGTATCATCTTGCAGTTTTTGAATTATTTTTTCCTGCATCCTAGTTATTTTTAAGAGATTTTCCTTACTTTTTCACTAACTGTAATGGTATCTTTAAGGTCTGAAAATATATTTTCACTTTCATTCAAATGGTGTGGCCACCTTGTGATTGAGGTTTTAATGTCCTGCGTATCACCTTGAATCTGCTTCTTGCATTCTATTTCTTTTCTATATCCCTTACTCAGAGATTCCATCATTTTTATATTCTGCTATATTTTTAATTATTTTTCAATAATTCTATTGAGAAAAAATAGCAATGAGACAGTTTTGAACCAAATTGGTAGGATATTTTCTATAATTAATACTTTTTTTTTCAGAACTAGGGATTGAACTAAGGCCCTTGTGCTTGCCAGGCAAGTGCTTATTCTACTGAGCCATCTCCCTGGCCTCCAATAATTAATACATTGCATGCATTCTTCCTATTGGTTATTTGCTATACAAGATGAAGACATGATATCCTATTTACAAACACTATTATAACAAATCCCTCTATTCTTTTAGAAAATATAATTGTATATCTATCCTAACCATTTTTGAATACACAGATACAAAATGGACATTCATCTGTATTCCCTTTTTGTTTAGTTCCATTATTTGAATATTATAGATGTGTCAACTCAGCAAAATATTCTAAAGGAGTCCAGTAGTCCATAATAGTATTGGGTCTTCCGCTTCACTGACAATGTCTGAAATTGTTGATTCGAGTCCCCTACAGCTCAACATAACAGCATGGCTTTACTTCTTATACTTAATTTTTATACTTTTCTGCTGGATGGCTAAGACCATGATAAAACAAGATTTAGGCACCAAGAGTTGTAGCTTTTGGGTCTAATAAGGTAGATGAAATCCCCTCAGGATTTATCCTGAGATCCCGTACCTCAGATTGTAGAACCTTTTTCAGTGTCAGCCATGTGGATGAGTCACGGCAATTGCTTGGCCAATGTGCTCTCTGTGAAAGCCTGAGAGAATGTTTTCTTTGCATGTGACTCTCATTAGGCACACTCTACATCATCGATCACTTTCCTCTTTGGCCCCATAATCTCCTTGATCAGAAAATTTGGGACACTCCTGAGTTACATGATGTTACAGTACAAGTTTTCATATGTCTTGAGTCTTAATTGACCTTAGAAGGTTAGGGCCAAAATGTTGGCTTTCATTGAGGCTCTTCTTTTTCTCTAATTTTGGTCTGCAAACTTAGGTTTTTAACCATCCATAAGAGAAGATTATTTTTATTACCAAACAGAGATAGGAGAAGAGCTAGGAAACATGACAGTGACAAGCCATCCAGTTATATGTAGAAGATGGACAAGGCAATGATCCTGAGAATCTTCAGAAGATTTTTGAATCTAGCAGTTAATTGCAAAGTTTTTCACCCTGACTAGCTATATATACTGACACTTGTGAACTAAGCAACTGCTTTGAAGATGACTATTTGTTATAGTAGTTTCATGCTTGGAGTGCCTGTCATTCTGGTCTTCTGAATATGGGCTGCTTGTCATGACATGTCAGTTGCTGCTATGCTGTCTCTCAGGTAGATGGTTGTAAAAAAGAAGGTATTGGTGAATGAATGCAAGAGCCAGGGAAAGGAATATTGTGGGACTGTCTTGCTTCAAGGTTGCATGTGGTTGGATTTTTGGATTTATGTGTAAACATAAGAATTATATAATTCTTTATGCCTATTTTTAAAATATATTGTAACTTTTGTATGTTTTTTTCAGTATATTCTGTAAGGACTTTGAGTTCAACATATCAAGACTTAATGAAAAATACCTGTTCCATGTTATACCTAAGATGTTTGATATTCAGACAGGTAGTGAGGTTAAGCCTAACAGCCTAGGTTTTATGGTAATAACAATGATTTATTTTTTTAATCAGTGTCTTCTTTAGAAGCACTTTGCACTTCTTTTATTATAGTTATCATTTATTCTCTTACTTCAGAAATTACTTCTACTCTGAGTTTCTCTATTCCTTTATGCAATTGTTTCTTTATTTCTGATGCTATTATTTCACAGATTTCAGGTGTGTGATTTCCAGTTTCTTCTATACTAGTGTCTTCTGCATTTGTTTTTGGTGGGCTAAGGGCATACAACTGTATTTTTCTCCTTTTCTTTGTCATTTTGTATAGCATTGTCTTCTGACCTTTTGTGTAGTGCTTAGTTAGAATTATTACCTTAGCACAAGTTCTGGATGTACAAAGTTCAAACTCTGTGAAGTGGGTGTGGCTCGGGTCTGTTTGCTGCGCTCCACTTCTTCCTGCTGCAACCCTTGGATTTGAACCCTCTGTGCCACTCTTTCAAGATAATCTGCTCCTGAATCAGCTGGGTGAGTCTTGCCTGTCGTATCTTTGCAGGGTGTTCTCTTGCAGGGTTGCACGCCTGACTTTGACTCTGGGTCAAATGAGGATTTGGTGGTCTCACTCACACTCCAGTTTTGGGTTCTGGGTTACATGAGGATTCGGCAGGCCCTGGGCAGTCTCATTCACATGCCATGCATGGGCTCTGGGTCGAATCTCCTTGTCATTTGGTATAGTGCTCTCCTCTGACCTTTGTTGTAGAGCTTTGATGAAGTTAGAACCTTAGCACATACCAAAATTCAAGTGCAGATCTACAAAGTTTGTATTCATCCTTCACTGGCTCGGGTCTGGCTGTGGTGCTCAGTTTGTTCCTGCTGTAGCCATTGGAATTGAACCTGTTGTTCTCCTCTGGCAAGATGTTCTGCTCCTGGGTTAGCTGGGTGGTTCTGTCCCCTATCCTCTCTGCAGGGACTTCAGCTGTAGAGTTTCACACCAGTCCTGTATGTAAAGTAGTTCTTTGCTTTGGAGGAAGTAGGGATTCAACTCAGGCCCTTGTGCTTACCAGGCAAATGCTCATTCTACTGAGCTGTCTCCCCTACCCTTGGTAGGTTTATTTTAATTTTACATTCAATTTCCTTTTTCATTCTTGTGTTATTCAGAGTTTGTATATCTTCTTAACTCAGCTTTGACATTTCATATGTATCTAGGAAACACACTATTTCTTCAGTATTTTCCATCCTGTGAGAGTAAAGAATTTAGAAGTACATATTCATGTTGTTCTGAATTTCTTTCGAGTTTGTAGACCTTTCATCCTTTTCATGCTTCATTGCATGAATTTGTGTTTTTTCTTCCTTTTTAAAATCAGATAGGCTAGGGTTTTATCAATTTTATTTTTACAAAGAACAAACTCTGATTAATTTATTCTTTTCTTCATCTCCAGCACAGGTATGAGGTGCTCAGGTGAGTGTCAGTGCCAGAAGCATGGACCATTGTTGCAGGAGTGTGTGTGTATGTGGTGTGTGTGTGTGTGTGTGTGTGTGTGTGTGTCCAAATCCCTCCCTAGTCTTCCCCTGCTCAGCCTTAAAGAGGCTGCACTCTGAGTTCTTGACTTGTGGGAGAGAAACAGTATAAGATCATTTATTTGGGCTTATAATGTTTTCCTAATGTGAGAATTTACTGTTATACCTTTTCCTCTCAAGACAGCTTTCCTTGCATCCCACAGGTTTTGGCAGGTTGTATCTGCATTTTGTTTTTATTGAAAATAATTTTTAATTTGTTCTTAATTTCTTCTCTGAACCCCTGGTTCCTGCAGGACAAAGACTCAGGAGCTGTCCAGAATCCACCCCCTGCACAGGTACGTCTGCCCCTTTCTCTTTCTTGATTTCCTGGAGCTCTGTCTCTCCACCCGGTCAGTAAGAGCAGGTTCTGCTCTCTTTTCAGACAGAGACAAGCTGAGGCTCAGCGGTGGAGACAGCAAGTGCTCAGGGAGAGTGGAAGTGTGGCACAAAGACTCCTGGGGAACAGTATGCGATGACTCCTGGGGTCTGGCAGAGGCCGAAGTGGTGTGCCAGCAGCTGGGTTGTGGCCGTGCTCTGGACGCCCTGGGAGCTGCTGCATTTGGCCCTGGAAATGGAACCATTTGGATGGATGAGGTGAAATGCAGTGGCTGGGAGCCCTCTCTTTGGGCCTGTGGAATGGCTCCCTGGGGACAGAGTGACTGCAAGCATGAGGAGGATGCGGGTGTGAGGTGTTCAGGTGAGTGTCAGGGCCAGAGGCATGGGCTAGGGCTGCAGCCGTGTGTGTGTGTGTGTGTGTGTGTGTGTGTGTGTGTGTGTTTGTCCAAGAGCCCTTGCTAGTCTGCCCCTGTTCCTTGATTTGGCTATAGAGAGGCTGCACTCTGAGCTCCTGACTTGTGGGAGAGAAATGCGAGTTGTCCAGTCAGTGAAGTGTACTGACTCCAATTTTCTTCTCTTGTCAGATGAAGAAATGGCTGCTCTGTCCACCACTATAAGTAAGCAGTTGTTTTTCTTTGTGCCATATAATAGGAAAGACATTTAGTTTTCAATCTACCTACACTATGGAATCTAGCATGCTTCTTACAAAATTCCTGTAGATTGAGTGATCAACTTTTAGAAACAGCAATGCAATATTTTAAGTTGCTGTCCCAAAAGTCTCTTATTTCTGATCAGCATTATATGGGGTTAGATTGAATCAAAGTTGCCACAGGTTAGTGTGAACTGTGGGTTGGTATGTTTGACTTCAGGAAGATCCACTGTATCCTGGGGCCTTAAGGGATGACTGAGATACTCACTTCTCTGAGATTATGACCATTTTTTTAATCATTTTTCCATCTCAGGCACAACTTCAGTCTCACCCTCTGTCCCTGGCAACTTCTCCTTGTATGAGATCCTCTGCATCATCCTTGGAACACTTCTCTTACTGAGCCTTATCATCTCGGCAACTCAAATGGGAATATGGAAAGCAACACATCAAGGTGGAATTTAAGGGTTAAGCTGATCTTGAAAGTATGTAGGGAAAGACTGAACTAGTTATGGATTTTTCAAAAAGAATACAGATGACTAACTTTCATTCCTGTTTTCTGGGCAAATATCTTCTGAATTATAGAGTTCAGGATTGAAAAAACCCTGAATACTTGGACTTTGATTTAATGTGGAAATTCTCAAATATGAAAGTGTAATTGAGCAATATCAAAGAAACAGTCTGGAATGCAGTTAGTGTCATGAGAGCTACTTATGTCACTTTAGAGCACAAATTAAAGAATGGATAGTGGCAATCCAGAGAGATTTCTCAAAGGGGATTTCTGGGAAGTAAAATGATTGTCTGGTTGAAGACACATACATATAATCGCATGTTGCTTTCTCCAGCCTTATCCACTGAAGATGCTGTTGATGAGGCCTTGTACCAAGAGATAGAGTATCTAGTGAAAGCAGAAAAGATGGATTTTCTGGATAAAGCAGGTGTGTTAAAACCCTTCTTTCTGTTCAGTCATTTGTCATCAGTGTGAATACCTTCAACAAGCACACACTCACTGGTTTATATTATTGCAATGGAATGCATGAGATAATCAAATTATAAGGAAAAATTTAATTTTTAAAGCCTCAAGATTTTCTCTGAATCATCCTAGTGAAATCCTTCTACATGTCTGACTGACTTGTTTTCTTGTACTAGGAACTGTGCCTGATAATTCGGAAGCTAAACTTCTATATTACACAGAAGACAATGAGGACGATGTTGGGCGTGAATCAACCTCAGGTAGCAGAGCCATGTCCTCTCTTGGCTGATGGGGTGGACAGGAGGAATCTCTTGGAGAAGAACACCCTGCTATGATTGTTACAGGGAACATCGTTTTTTTCTCTAATCCACATGTTTTCCCATTTGCTCACTCTAAGATCTCAGGGAAAGAAGTGGTGCAGTTACCTTTCATATCCACAGCTACTTATAGTGGGCCATACACATACCTAAAGTGTATTATTGTATTGAAAATTATGTTTTAAGAATAAGATTTGAAGGAGGCCCTCTCAAAAAATTTGTAGTGAAGGACATTAAGAATATGGTTTTCAGAAAGAAAAAAAAAAAAGAAAGAAAGAAAAGAAAAATTCCCTGGCAAGCATAAGGACCTGAGTTCAATCCCCGGTTCCACAAAAAAGAAAAAGAAAAAAAGAAAAAAAAGAATATGGTTTTCACCTAAGCTAGTGAAGCACAAATTGAGTGGTTTATGTGAACTGTGACAGCAAAAAATTTGGTAAGCCTTCAAATGCATAACGTTCAAGGTTTTCATCCTTATTCATTATCAGGAGATTTTCTCTGCAAAGGAACCAGACAGAGAAATATGCATGCTAAATATTTGATAAATGGTAAAAAATGGACAACACTTAGGAAGGGACATAACCAGGAGGATTCTGAGAATGTGGAATTCTAAGGTCCACACAATACTAGAGGGTATTGAAACCTATGACTCCCATGATGGGGATGATAGGTGTGTATATCTGTGAGTAACAGAAGCTCAAGTTTTCATGACTTTGCAGCTCAGTGTCTCTCACTGCCTCAAAGACACCAGGTTAGCCTGAATTAATTTGGTCCAAATTTAGTCTTCTTCAATCACTGATTTCTACTGATCTTGTCCAACTATGTGTTATATGCCTGAAAGTAGCACAGATACATGCTAAAATTTATATCATAAAGACTTTTTGTTGTTTTCCAGTATGAGAGGCAAGTTTAGTGATTATTATTGATATTAATACATTGCAGTACTTAGATTTACAGAATTTCTAAGAATATTGAGCTCAAATGTGTAACTTCAGTTTACACATGGAATGTTGCCTAACTTATAATATCTGCATTAGATAAGACTTAACACCTTGTCCAACATATATATTTATCTTCCACCTTATCTTTGTCTGTTTTCAGAACATCCTTGGCAGCATGGTGATGCTACAGGAAATGGTTATGATGATGTTGGAGAGGTACTTGTTCTTGAAATTCCTTCTTCCTATGGGAGGAGTGAGAAGAACTTTGTTCCAGAAGAAAAAGATGATGCCAGATATTTCCAGACAGATGGGTGTGTAGTTCTTTCTTTAATCAAGTTATATTCATGGGAAAGATTTGTTTGAACCCATCTCTCATACTTATTCCTTTGATGTAAGAATTGAGATAGCCTTGCATACCTAGATGATGTCTGATCCTCCATATCCCTGCTTGTAGCTATTATATACTTTCTTTAAAAAAGAAACATTATATTCTCTGTGTTGTGAACACCATATTTGGATGTAGAATTGTTGTACTGCATATGGAAGCAGAAATTCTGAAATGACATTCAGGATTTGGAGGTAGATGTTTTTTCTGTCGACATAAATATCATTTCCCAACTACAAGTCCCTGATGGCTAACAAAGGGAGGTTTTATGTGGTTGCAGGCAAGAAGCAGAGTACTTTGCTGTCCTTTATTGTTCTTATCATATGCATCATAGTAATCAGCTATGCATCACAGTCACCTGCCCTTTCTAAGAGACAGAAGTAATCAGAACTACACCAACGACTTTCACCTGGGCAACTGAAGCATACTGGCTGGGTGGGTGGGGGCACATTTTTGGCTACAGTATGAGTTTCAGAAACTGTATTTTTGTTCTCATTTTCATATCCCAAAGTAAATATCTATATCTATATGTTCTGATAATAAATATAGGGACTTAAATTGTGAGACATTTGCAATTTCTCAATGGCAAAGTGAAATCCATCTATGAACTCTGAGTACTGTTTTCAAGAAGCCCCATAACCACATTTTTTAAATTGACAGTGGGCACAATTTATGCAGAGAGTGAAATAACTTTGATTTGACAATCATAAAATTTCTTCACTTGGAGGAAGGTATGAATTCTCCTCATTATTTCTGTTGACATACAAATCCAGGCATTCTGCTCATCAGCCGGTTTATGGTCCATAAGGAGCAAGATACCATAGGATTAGGTTAAACTGTTCTCTTCTAGCATTTGTAAGGGGAATCAAATTGTTCTTATGATTAGTTTGAGATCAAGTGTGCTTTATTATTGAGACATTGAGAAATTACAAGTGGCCATCTGCTATCTCCATTCTATAAGGGATCATACCTGCCTGATATGTAAAAGCAGACTGATAACTTTATCCCCTGCCTTACCATTACTATCACTCCTATTTTCCATCACTCAGATCAAGATAAGGTTCTTTAAAAGAACAAGAAGTATGAAGTATCAAGCTGGGCTGGTGGTGCACACCTACAATTCCATCACTAGGGAGGCAGAGTCAGTAGCTTTGTTATGAGTTCAAGGCCAGCTTGGGATATATCATGAGTTTAAGTTTAGGCTGAACTTAATAGCAAGAGCCAGTCTCAATCCTTGCCCCCCCTCCAAAAAAAAGCCATTATGAGGCAGGTCCATCTTGCCTTTCAGATAAGTCCTGTTTCCACACATATCTAGCAGCAATTTCTACACTAGTTTTCCTTATGTAGGCACATCACGCATTGTTCTGTCATCACTCACATGTGCACTTTCTTGTACTGTTTTAGGCAACTGTCTTCAGTCTTACAAGAAACCACACTCTCTTTCATGGAAGAGAAAGAATCTCCAGTGGTTCTGAGACAAGAAGAAACTGCATATGATGATATTGAGCTGGATGCTACATTATGACTTCTGTGGAGCAACCACATGCCCAAATATGTTCTTTGTGATTTATTTCTTAAATAAATCATAATTTTGTCTTCTTCATGATTGCAAAGTTTTAACAAATATCTGTTCTGAACAATGTTATTCACAGTGAATATCCAAACCCTTATTCTCTTTAATAATAAGGCACACTGACTCACCTTGACTTTGGAAGATGCCATCTTTCTACACATTGTTTTCACTGAGTGAAATATCAGTTGGAAGATTCATATTTTCTTCTCCCACAGACCCAACTTTTTCCTCCCCTTAAATTCAGAGATATTCTTTACCTGAATAACAAAAAACATTAAAAGACATCCTAAACTCAGTATTTACATTTAGGAAGATGATTAGAAACTCGAGTGCTTAGCTGGGGAGATAATTCAGTGTATTTCCTGTAACTGAGTGTCTTCTGGAAAGCAGAAGATCCTGAGTTTGATAGACAGTACCAAAATACAAAAGCAAAAACATAAACAAAAACCAAAAAAACAACCCAATAAAACTTGAGTTCCCAAACTGACTATTTTAAAAAGTATTCTATGCATCTTCCCTAAAACCTAGAAGTCTAATTCAAAGTGAATGGGCTGGTGAGCTGGAAGGGAAATATATGCAGCCTTGTAATTTTACCCAAATTTTATAACATCTAAAATTTATTTGTACATAAGTATATATGTTACTTCAACTTTGTCTTTTAATTAATTTTATTTTTATTAGTTCATCTTTGTAATAAATAATGACTACATTCTTCATGAAGAGTGGTGCACATAAATAATACATTTTAATCCCTTCAATGCCCCCTTCTCCTTTCTCCATCTTTTCGTCTTTAATTTTTATAAAACTTCTCTCCGGGGCCAGGGAGATGGCTCAGTGGAATAAGCACTTCTTTGGCAAGCGCAAGGGCCTGAGTTCAATCCCCGGTTCCACAAAACAAAACAAAACAAAAAACTTCTCTCCATGTTTCCTATAAAACCCTTTATGTATCCTCATTCCCTATAAAATTTCATTTCCTATTAATCTCATTCTATTGTATTCTATTTTCCATTGGCAATAATTTATGTTTTAATGTCCCCTCCATCCTGTACTTGTTTAGATCCCCGACTATTCTAACTTCTGCTATTGGAAAACTTCTCTAAGTGTCTATATTTACTGTAGATTTTCCTGTTCTCAAACCATTAACACACATCCCCTGTAGCTGAGTGTGATGGGCAGGTGAAATCTTGCAGTGCTTCTGCCTGAATTATATGAAAGAGTAATTTTAAAATTTTAGGTATTTGTATGGAAGCAAAATGAAAATTTTTACATTTACATCCTAACTTTATAGTTTCTAACTATAATTCTTATTATATTTGTTGTCTTTTAAGTATTTTGTTCAAAGGTAAAGTGCGTATTACTGTCAAAAATATTCAGGAAATGATGTAAACTTTCTAAGATTCATTAGTGGTTTTTGCAAGTATTTTTCAAATTCTCCATATTGAAAACATATATTTTATTTTATTTAATACATTAAAAATAATTTTATTGAGAAACAAATAGCAATGAGAGTTTCAAAACCGATTAGTAGTAGAGTTTCAATAATTAATTAATTGCATATTGTTGTCTTCTTAGTGGTTATTCGTAGTAGAAGATGCAGACATGATATCCTGTCCACAAACACTATTCGTACAAATCTTTCTATTCACTGAATTAAGAGAAAGTAGCTGTATACCTATCTTAACTATTGTGTGTTACAGATACAAAATGGTCCTTCATTTGTATAACATTTTTGTTTAGTTATGTCAGAGATGGGTATTCCATTGCAATTTAAATATTATAGGTATGCGAATTCAGCAAAACATTCCAATATAGTCCAGTAATACCTAATCTTAGTGGGTTATCCATAGGACTGGCAATGTTAGAAGTTGTTGACTTAAGCCTTTTACAGCTCAGCCTATTAATGTGGCTTCACTTTTTATACCTCATTTTTATGCCTTTCTGCTGGATGGTTAAGACCAAAATTAAGCAAGACAAAATAAGAAATATAACTTTTGTATATGACAAGGTTAGTCAAATCTCAAGATTTACTATGAAACCCTGTACCACAGTTTGTAGCTCCTTTGTCAGTGTCAGTCATGTGGATGACTCATGGCCATTACTTGACCAACTTGCTTTCTGTGAAGGCCTGAGAGAATGTTTTCTCTCCATGTGACTCTCCTTAGGCACACTCTACATCATTGATCACGTTCCTCTTTGGCCCCATAATCTCCTTGATCAGTAAATTTGGGACACAAATGTGTTACAACATGTTACATTACAGGTTCTCCTATGTCTTGAATCCTCACTGACCTTGAAAGGCTAATCCCATTGTTAATGCATTTTAAAGAAAACAGTGATAAAACAGCAATGAAATAGTTTCAAAATAGGTTAGCAGGACAGTTACAATAATTAATACATTGCATATTGTTGCCTTTGTAGTAGTTATTCAGAGGAGAAGATGTACACATATTTTGTCTGAACAATATTAATACAAACATTTCTTCTCAATGAACTAAGAGAAAGTAGCTATATATCTATCCT